GGCTTAAAGCAACACATGATGAGGCACAGTGGAGAGAAACCTTTCAGCTGTTCTGTCTGTGAATCAACCTTTGCAAGCAAAAATGGCTTTAAGCAACACATGATAACGCACAGTGGAGAGAAACCTTTCCGCTGTACTGTCTGTGAAGCATCTTTTGCAAGGAAACGTAGTTTTAAGCAACACATGATGAGGCACACTGAAGAGAAACTTTTCAGCTGTTCTGTCTGTGAAGCAACTTTTGCAAGCAAAAGTGACTTAAAGCAACACATGATAAGGCACAATGCAGAGAAACCTTTCAGCTGTTCTGTCTGTGAAGCAGCATTTGCAAGCAAAAGTGGCTTAAAGCGGCACATGAAAAGTCACCGTGGAAAGAAATCTTTCAGCTGTTCTGACTGTTGTTGTGTTCTGCTGTTGAAACTGAAGTAATGGTTATTACATAGAAAGTAGGCCTGTCACGATAACAAATTTTGCTGGGTGATTAATTGTCTCAGAAATTCTTGCTATAAACGATAAAACTGATTGAAATTTGACAATAATCAGTAATTGTCAAATTTAAGAAGAAATGTTTAATTTGTTTTGCATGTAGTATCATTTTTCGACCACCGGGTGGCCGTATTAAGACTGTTTGAATCGAAGGAGTTAACAAGTAAGGGAGCAAGCGGTGTGTCTCTTTAAGAAAAATGGGGGGGAGGCCCCTTGACATGACATGGGCTGTCTCTCTTCATTTCTCAAAATGGCGGACGATCTGTGTTGATTGAGCTCTTTAGCATAGCCTTTTTCACACAAAGCTTTTAATAAAAACATCAGTAAACAAGTTCTCAGCTTCTTTTTGCAGAGAAAAACTTTTTACATAAAGGCATGAGTTTCAACCATGAATTGTTGGAGTTTCGAAAAGACGGAGGTTTTTTTCCCCGAGGTCGGCCTGTTAGCTTAGCTCGTAGCTTAGCTTCTCAGCTTATCTGCTTTTAGCGATCCAATAACACTATTTTTGATGGTTAAAATGGATTTTAAAGAGAAAGAGAGGGGTCAGTGAAGAGCACCGGAGTTGAGCTTTTTGTCATCCAGTTTCTTCAGTAGAAAGAAAGAGATACGAAGAAACGATAAAGCGAATGAAATGAGGTAGATAATTTTCATTTATCATGCAATTAATGGGGGCACCTCGCACAGTCACTGCTGGACATGGGCACCAGCGACCCCCGTGACCCAAAATGGAATAAGCAGGTAAAGATAATGGATGGATGCAATTAATGGAGTTATTGTTTATTGCGACAGGCCCAATAGAAAGGGCACTGGATGGCAGTCTAAGACTGTATGTTTAAAATATGCTGTACAGAGAGGAATGGAAGGAAGTGGAAAGTAAAAGTAAACGGAACTGAAGCTGGTCTACGTGTTTGCTTATTTTTCCTTTATCTCAATCTTGCAATCCGCGGTTCTACTTCATGGCCTGGGTATGGAGGGTCAACGGCTTTACTAAACCCTGCCGAACACTGAATACACGTTTTGCTGCTGCTATTGCTGCTCTTAAAGAACATTTTGTGCCAAAATTGAAAGTCATTGCTGAACGTCACAAGTTTCGACAAAGAGCACAGAGACCAGATGAGACGGTAAACCAATTCTTAGTTTCTCTACGCGAGTTAGCTGCTGCATGTGATTACGTGTAACTGATCGAGCGTGTTGCTAACACTCGCATAAGAGACCGATTATTACTTGAACTGGACCTAACACTTGCTAAAGCTACTACATTGGCGTTGCAAATTGAAAGTGGAATGAGGGATGCTAATGTTCTCGTTGATGCTTAAAGCCCTGCGTGCTGCATCTTCCTCTTCAGCTGGTGGTCATGGTTTCCATCGCCAGCTTCCCGCGTACCCGGACCAGGTAAACAATGGGAGTTGTCGGTGCACCGACCGACCCGGAGGGGCTGTTATTGAAAACCTCCGGCCATTAGCTCGCGCAAACTCCACCGCTGCTGGCTCCACTTTGAACAGTATCCGGATGTGTTTGGTCAACGCAAGATCTGTTACCAACAAAACTTTTATCCTCAGGGACTACTTTCAAGAGCAGGATTTGAACTTTTTCTGCATCACAGAGACATGGATGTCTCCGGGTGAGTCCAGCGCCTTGACGGAATTATTGCCACCGAACTGTCGGTATTTTAACGCCCCGCGGCCATCAGGCCAGCGCGGTGGTGGATTATTAACAATATTCAAATCAACTTTTGACTGTAAACAACTGCCCATCCCAGTTTCCCACGCCAGCTTTGAACTGAGCGTCTTTGAACTGAGCGTCTTTGAACTCAGCCATTCGCCTCCGACGTTATGTGCACTCATTTACTGCACACCTTGGTCTAAGGATTTCATAAATGAGTTTTCTGACTTCTTGGCTGAATTCACACCAAAATATGAGCATGTTTTCATTATTGGGGACCTTAATTTGCATGTGTGCTGTCAGGAGAAGCCCTTGGTTAAGGACTTTTTAGATGTATTGGACTCATTTAATCTAACGCAGCATGTAAATGGTCCCACCCAAGAGCGCGGACATACACTGGACCTTGTTTTAACACGTGATGTGACTGTTAGTAATCTTGTTATTGGTGATAATGTTTTTTCAGACCGCATGCCGGTCCAATTTGAGTTCACTCTCCCCCATCTAACTCCTAAGTCGTGCTTTCCTGCACGTCGTAGCCGGACCATTAACCATCTCACTGCCACACGTTTCACAGATGTTTATAACTCTGGAATGATAATTCAGCCCCCGGTGTTTCTCACCACCACTGAGGAGCTGACATCCCAGTTCAACTCTGTCTGCTTAAAGACGCTAGATCATGTTGTGCCTGTTAAAACCAAAAAAACAAAACTCAGAGCAGAACCTTGGCTGAGTGACGTCACCAAGGCCGTTAGGCAGCAATGTAGGAGGGCAGAGCGCAAGTGGAGGAAAGACAGGCTGCAGGTCTCTTTTCAAATACTTAAAGAGAGTTGGCGCCATTATCAGAAAGCAGTGAAAGCTGTTAAATCCAAATACTTCACTGATATAATTACCTCAAACTCTCGCAACCCACGTCTTCTTCTCTACCCTAAACTCTGTTCTCCACCTTACTGAACCATAACCTCTGGAAGCCTCGACTGAGCTGTGCGACAACTTCCTAAATTTATTTTTGGAAAAAATTGCAACCACCCGGGCTCTCATTTCCCCTCCAACTCATGACCCATCCATCCCACCTCAATCTGTAGCTTCATTTGACCATTTTGAACCCATCACTATCTTCTCTAGAGCAGGTCATGTGCAGCTTGAAACCTTCTGGTTCCCCCTTTGATGTGGTCCCCCCTCAACTACTAAAGGAGGCTTTTCCTACTCTAGGTCCGTCCATTCTTGATATAGTAAACAGTAGTTTATCCACTGGCGTAGTGCCAAAACCCTTTAAAACATGCTGCTGTCCAGCCTCTCCTGAAAGAAAAAACCTTGACCCCTCAGTCGTGTCCAACTTCCGGCCTGTCTCCAAACTCCCATTTGTTTCTAAAATACTGGAGAAAATAGTCGAGTCCCAGTTGAAGTGCTTCCTGAAGGATCACGCCATCTTAGAGCTATTCCAATCTGGCTTTAAACCTCTCCACAGCACTGAAACTGCCCTACTGAAGGTTTTTAATGACATTTTCATATCTACAGATACCGGTGATTCTGTGCTGCTTGTCCTATTGGA